AGAGAGAGAGAGAGACAGACAGACAGAGAGAGAGAGAGAGAGAGAGAGAGAGAGAGAGAGAGAGAGAAAGAGAGAGAGGGAGAGAGTTAGGGAGAGAGAGAGGTTGAGGTGAAGGCGAAGACAAAGAGAAAAGGAACCACAGCCAATGCTATTACACGAGGTTTTGTGCAGCGAACACAGTCAGAAAAAGTAGTTTGGCAAATTTGTTACCTTATCCGCAAGCCCTGGGGTCCTTTTGTACTTTTGAGAATACTTCTAGTACGAAGATCTGAATCTCTTTGAAACTTTCAGTATTTTTCAAAAAATCATTTTGACAGACTTATATGCAAAACATATGGGTCGGATTAATGAGTAAATTTCCTTTTTGGAAAGTGGTGATACAGTGTTCCCACCTAGTATGGATACGATAGTAAAACACGACGCACGGATAGGGTCGATTCTAACACCTAGCACAGACAATGACGAAAGTTGACCACTCACCTCAATCCTCCAGATCTCCAGTCCCACCGACTGGCCCGCTTCCTTGAAGGCGGCGTCCACCGACATAGTAATCACGTGGTGCAGTGATGTCACAGAGGAGTACGAATATGCAGGGCTATAGTGACGTCACAGAGGTGTGAGAGTACACAGAGCTGCAGTGACGTCACAGAGGTGTACGGATGCACACGTCGTGCTGGGGCGACTACACAACTATACACAGGGAAGAACAAAGTGCGTGTGCTTGAAGCTGGAGACGGTGGCTACTCAAACTCCGGTTTGTCTTTGATGAAAGGCTATATAGAGTCTGTTGATGTCTCATATGGCCAGTGCCTTGGTCTGTAGGCACGACGAAACAGAGAATTAGGAAACGAGGCAAGCCGAAACATTGAAGACACCAATAGAATATTAAAAAAACAACTTTTCGATTACTTCGTACTTTGTTTACGAGAGAAATAGAAAAAAACCTCTTTTAATTTGCTTTTCCAATATGAAGGTGATAGTGATTTTTTAAAATACGTAGATATTTTGTCCATGTAATCCTTAATTAACTCATATGATAACACTGTTGTTGTTCTTTACGGCATAATCCAAAATTGTATGCCTGTCTTGTATAGTGAAGAGTATTTTATGCAACCGTCGACATAATATTTAGAAAGCAGGCTGCTTCTATCTTGAATATCAGGGCCAGTCTTGGCTGCAAAGGACTCAACATACCAGCAGACAGACGGATATAATCAATTTACAAACACGGGGGTAGACGCTATAAAAGATACTATTATTATAATGATTATAATTTATCATAC